GGCAGCACTCCGTCCTGCGCCTCTGCCCTCACATAGCGCTCTTCACGCGTGTGCCTGTGTAGCTTCTATGGGGACACGGGGCCAACTGGATGCGGGCCCCTCTCACCTGGACCGGAGCACCTCTGCAAAGGCCCTGCTCCGTGTAGCGTCTCCATCCCCGGCACTGGGGATGGATACTTTCGGCTTTTTTTTTGGGGCCGGGGCATGATTCAATTTACAAAAGCGTGGGAGACAGGTGTGCTGCGCAAATACCATGAGACACCCAGATGCTGGTATAGAATCGCTTGTCCACAGGGATAGGGAATGCCCAGGGAGGCAGTGAGCTGGAAGTCAGGAGTGACATCATCGAGTGTCGTAAGGAGCTGAGAGCTTTGTTCGAGACTCCTATGCGTACATGACCGAATGCCAGAGAGCCGCCGGACACCTGTAATTGCGCTGGGAAAACCCAACAACCCAGCACTGTCATCCAGGTGATCCTGACTCTCGCGACGGGTAGGGAGGGAGAACTGCCCTGTGGTTTTCGGAGACTAGCTCCTTAAGGGAGTAGAGAGCCTCACGTGTCTCCCCTTGAGCAGCTGGCTGGTTTCAACTGCCGACCTTTCAGCTAGTCGCCCAAAGCGTCACTCACTGAGCCACCAGGGCTCTGGGCACCTGTTCCTAATGGCTTACCAGTTCAACTTACAGACACACCCTACCACTCCACCACCGGGGAGCCTATGCTGGGAAGGAGGTGGTGAAACAGAAGAAGGGAACTTCATCAATGTAGAAATCGTAGACCAATTCGCTTTCCTCCCTTCCCGTAGAAGATCCTCAGCAGTGTAGTGGTTAAAGCACTGGGCCGCTAAGTGCAAGGTCAGCAAGTTAAACTTTACCGGTCACTCCGTGGGAGAAAGATGTGGCTGTCTGTGTCCATAAAGAAGTACAACCTTGGAAACCCACAGGGTAGGTCTACTCTGTCCTATAGGGTCACTGTGAGTTGGAATTGGTGGCAACGGGGATGGTTTGGTTTGTGTTCGATTTCCATAGGCATCTCCTCCATGATTTCCGACTGATGGGCTTTGGCCACGGTGCAATTCCTTCCTCTGTAGACTGATGGCCTGAGCCAGGCGATGTAATCAGGGAGAATCAGGAATTTATCTCTGGGGGTTGCCTGAGCTCTGGTGGTGTGATTAGATGAAGCATTGGACCGTGCATCGTAAAGTCAGCAGTTCAAAGCCACTAGCTGTTCTGGGACAAAAAGATGAGGCTGTCTACTCCTGTAAATTTACAGCCTCAGAAACCCTATTCGGGACATGGGTTATACACTGGGCTGTGACTCACAAGGTTAGTTCAAAACCACTGGCCACTCCACGGGGGGAAAGAGGAGTTGTACTCCCAGAAAGATAGACAGCCCGGGCAGTTCTGCTCTGTCCTCTAGGGTCGCCAGGCGTTGGCAGGGGCTGGACGAGGGTAGGTGAGGGAGTTATATGAGTCGAGCTCACTCAGTGGCAGGGGGGTCATTGCTCTTACAGCCCAGAGACAGGTTTTCTCCATAACGGTGGTGAGCAGAGAGGAGACCCTGGGGCTTTATTTGGATCCCAGGCAGGTTACTAACTTGCACCTGCCCTTTGATGTCATGTACCCACCCACCCCCCACTCTTTATCAAAATCACCTTCACTTGAGAGCCTTCTCTTTTCTTAAAAACTCCAAAACCTCTCACTGCCAGCAGGCCCATTCTGACTCCCAGTGACCCTTTAGGCTTTCAACTCCCACCAAGAGTTAGTCTCGGGAACTCACCTGGACAGTCCTGCCCTATCCTAGAGGGTTCTTTGCCCAGACTCACGCTCAGTAAGGACTACATGCATCTGTTCTCACACACATTGCCATGAAGTTGATGCTGACTCGTAGCGACCCTATAGGGCAGAGTAGAACTGCCCCTGTGGGTTTCCAAGATTGCAACTGTACGAGGATAGAAAGCCCCACCTGTCTCTCACGGAGCTGCTGGTGGTTTTGAGCTGCTGACCTTGTACTTAGCAGCCCAAAGTGTAATCCACTCTGCCACCAGGGCTTCAGACACCTGTTCCTAAGGATCTAAAAATTCGATTTGTGGACACACCCTGGGATGGATCTCGTTCGTAACCTGGATCCTGCGGGTTTTATCTTGCATGCCGCCTCTCTGGCGTGTCCCCGAGAAGGGTTTTCCTTTATTTGTCTTTCAGTGTGGGTGCCATGCTCTCGTGGCTTGGGGTTGGGTCTGGTCTGGTCTTCTTTGGTGTGAATGCCATCTTAGGAATGACATCCCTCTCAGAAACTGTAAAACTCTTCCTGAATTGCCATCCTTGCTTTGTCTCAACTGAAACCTGGAGGTTTTTCAGTCCCTCTGATTACAATATAAATCGCCAACTGTGTTGGCCTGCTTTTCTGTACCGGGATTGAAGTGTTTTTCCACTGCCCCTTCGTCAACATGGTCTACCTCTTCTCGCTGCTTCCCCTCTGGTCCTTATGCCGAAAGGTGCTTGACCGTGCGTGGTCGGGCATGGCCTAACTGTACACATAGTTACATCTTAAAAGAGGGATTGTCAGAGAACTGTTCTGCTTGTTTACTTCCGGTGTATTTTATAGATTGAATTTGATATGCGATATGCAACGGACCTTCTTGAAAGGCAGGACCGTGTTTTTTCAACATTAGCATGGCCTGGCTTGTGTCGCTTGAAAGTGCCAATCTGTGTGTTCTTTTGTCTTCTGAGACTTCCTTCTCTGGAACCACCAGAGAAAATCACATCTCAACGGGAAAGGCTCATTGTAGAGTGCGTCTTGGAAACCATGATGTCAATTTAATCAGAAATTAACTTCTGTGACCCAAACTCCAACGCCCAGAGATCCTCCGTGGGGTCCCAAGGCTGTAAACCTTTGTGGGCGCAGGTAGCCTCCTCCTCCTCCCACAGAGTGGCTGGGGGCAGCAGGGGATCGACCCGCTGACCCACCGGCACCAGCAGGGACCCTGTGCTTCCCAACACTCTCGTCGGCTTTTCCTCCCTGAGAAGTAGAATGTCTCGGAGCTTTGAATAGCATGTTTGACTTTTCGGGAATAGAGGACCCAAAGGTGTTAGCACCATCTTTGTGCATCATCTCTTAACGGTCGCAGACCACAGACAACTCCAAGGCCATCAGTCCTTCTGTGCAGCCTGCACAGTGCTTGAGTCTCAAACCACACCAGACTCCCTGCCATCAAATCTGCTCTGACTCGCAGCAGCCCTGTAGAACGGGGAGAACTGCCCCTGGGACTTTGCGAGACTGTCCCTCTTCATGCCTCATCCTTCTCCCAAGGAGCGACCGGTGGTTTCCAACTGCTGACCTCACAGTTAGCAGCCCAACTTGTAACCACTGTGCCACCAGGGCAGCGTTTAATCAGTACTTACAGTGCAGTCCAGAGATCATCTGGCTCCATGGAGAAACCTGTTGGTGGGCTTTTTCGAAAGCAACGTGTTACGGTCTTTCCGGAACGTCCATAGGATTCCCCGTGGGGGCGGGAGTGGCCAATCAAGTCCTGGCTTACTGTTGGTTGCAACTTGCTTTGTAGGAAAAAGTGCCCGCCACGGGTGGAGAGACCTGGGATCTAGTTGGGGCGCTATCCTTAACCACAAGTGTAACCGCCTCTGACTTTGACCCATAAGCCTCCTCACCGGTACAGTGAGCCCCCAGGGCCCCCAGGACACATTCCAGTTGGAAAGCTGGGACCTCTCTGGGAGAGATCTGCTGAGGAGGCGTTTGCCCACGTGAGGCTTGGCAGCTCCGGGTTCTCGCCAGGGCTGGGCTTAGATCCCATAAACCTTTCCCCTCACATGACAGCCGTTTGCTGCTCCTCAAGGCTGAAGATCATTCTGGGAGGGCATGACAGTCTCTCCCGTCAGCTCTGTGCTCTCTGCTTCTCAGGCATCTCGGACAGACGAGCCCCAAGATCCAGCTGGTCCTGAGGATCCCAAGGGGAACTTGGAGAGTCCCAAGCAAGGCGGCAGTAAGATGAAGCTCAAGAGCCGCCTTTCAGGTGAGTGGGGAGCCCTTGGCCTGGTACGAGCTTCCAGCCGCTGAAGGAGTGGGGAGATCAAAGCCTGCGGGGGTTATCACAGGGTTTCCTCAGACCCCCGGGCTTGCTTTCCATTTAGAGAGGGCATGCCCTGGCACCCGGTGACCTAGCTGCCCTACTGCCCCCATGCATCATTCCCTTGGAGGCCCACCGAAGCGCACGGGCAACCCCCCTCCGTGTGACTCGTCTTAAGCCGGGCCTTCCTGCAGGTGCGATTCATTTCTGCAGGACTTCTGGTGACCCCTTTCCCTCGGGCACGTGCCCCAAGCAGTCCCAGCAGACACAGCTTTAACCTGCTGCGCCGGGGCACCGGAGCGTCCCTCACTTACCTAATGCGTCTCACGGAAGCAAGGGAACAGTGAAGGGGGGGTGAGCAAGGGGCTCTGGGTCTCCCAGGCAGATCCTCAGAGGGGCCAGGAGAAGTTGTGTGGGCAGGGGGTCCCACTGTGACTCTCAGGAGCGTAGGTGAGGCACTTTTACCTTCATTTAAAGAGTTAAAAGCATCAAGGGACTTTAAAAAGTTCACGGACAAGCTCTGTTCCCTTTTCCTTTTCTTTTTTAATACTTTTATTGGGGCTCTTACATCTCATATCAATCCAGACATTCCTCCAGTGTGTCAAGCGCATTTGCACATAGGCCGCCATCATCATTTTCAAAGCATTCTCTGCCCACTTGAGCCCGATATCAGCTCCCCATTTCTTCCCCCACCCTCCCCTGCCCACCCTCCCTCATGAACCCTTGATAAGGTATAGATTATTTTTCTATATCATACATCGTCCTCCATTGCCCCTCACCCACTTTTCCAATATTCATCCCCCTGGGAGGGGGTTCCAGCTTGATCCTTGTGATCGATTCCCCCTTTCTCCCCCCACCCTCCCCTAATCCTCCTGGTATCTCTACTCTCCTTGTTGGCCCTGAGGGGTTTATCTATCCTGGATTACCTGTGTTGCGGGCTCTTATCTGTAGCAGTGTGCATGTTCTGGTCTAATCCGATTTGTAAGGTAGAATTGAGGTCATGATAGTGGGGTGGAGGAAGCACCAAAGAGCTAGAGGAAAGTTGTGTGTTTCATCGGTGCTGTATACTGCACCCTGACTGGCTCATCTCTCTGTGAGGGGATGCCCATTTGTCTACAGATGGGCATTGGGTCTCCACTCCATGCCCGGCCCCCCCATTCACCTTGGGTATGGTTTTATTCTGAGGAAAGAACCAGGAGGCAAAGGATATTTTTAGAGGCCTAAATACAGGCATGTACATATGTAAATATACATGAATAGAACTATGCACTCATATCTATATGTTAAGAATTAAGGTTGTGAACACCCTGGGGGAAAAAAAAGAATTAAGGTCACAGATGGACATTGGGCTTCAACTCAAGTACTTCCTCAACAAGAACACTTTGTTCTAACAATCCAGCGTTCTGTGATGCTCATCTTTCTTGACACAATCACTGAAGACAAAACGGGTGCATAAACAAATGTGTTGAAGAAAGCTGATGGTGCCCAGCTATCAAAAGATATAGCGTCTGGGGTCTTAAAGGCTTGAAGGTAAACAAGCGGTCATCTAGCTCAGAAGCAACAAAGCCCACATGGAAGAAGCACACCAGCCTGTGTGATCACGAGGTGTCAATGGGATCGGGTATCAGGCATCAAAGACCCAGAATAAAACCAGACTCTGTTGCCTTTTCATTCCATGCTCCCCCACGTGGGAGTGTATCAGCTGCGTTGTCATACACAGGCCAGATTCACTATTTTATGTTCATTGCTCCTGTGTCCCCCACCCCTTGCCTTCTGATTCTAAACAAAGGTAAAATATGTTTTGTCGCCCCGAAATGTGCGGGGAGTGGGGCTGTTAGTCCCACCCCTGTTGTGTCTAACATAGAAGCCCACCTGGCTATCCCTGTCCACCACTACCCCCATGAAAAACCACCCGAGTGTAGCAGAAAAACATGTCTGGCTGCACTGGGTTTCTACTCAGCTCTGAGGTGCTGTGTGACCTTGGGCTGGCTTTGTAACCTCTCTGAACTTGTAGTTTATCATATGATAAAGTGTAGTGGTTGTGACTTGGAAAGGCTGGACACAGGTTTCTAGGAGCACACAAGTGCAGCCCACACGTGTTGGAGAAAAAAGAACAAGAAAGAGTTGCTGTCAAATCAGTTTCAGCTCCTATGGACCCGCATGGGGGTTGATGCACTAGGCTGCTTAGCCAAAAACTCGGGGAGTCCACCTGGAGGTGCCGCTGAAGAAAGGTCGGCGTCCTGTGTCAGAAAAATCAGCCGTGGGTCACAGACTTACTCTGACCCCTTGGGGACTCCATGAGTCTATGTCGGCTTGATGGCAGCTAGTTGGCAGATATCCAAACCCAACCCAGCTCACTGCCGTCACCCTGTCGGACAGGGTAGAACTGCCCCTGTGTGTTTCTGAGGCTGTAACTCTCTCTCTGACAGTAGAAAGCCACACCTTTCTTCCTCATGCTAGCTGGTGGTTTTGAAGTGCTGACCTTGGGGTTAGCAACCCAATGCTGTTCCTTCAGGTGGCTGGCATAGAACTAAGAAACACGTCATTTTTAAAACCTGAGAGCTGAAATGAATTGTGATCTTGTACTTGTGACTTGGCATCATTTGGCAGCGTGCGTCTGAGCAGGTGTTAGAACATGGACTTAGGACCCAGAAGAGTGGTGGTGGCAGGGGCTACGGAGAAGTCTGAGAAGAGACTTCCGGAGAGGGAAGTCCCTCGTGCGGAGGGAACCGCCGGCTGCCCTGAGCCCTGCGGAAGAGTGAAGGGAAGGGAGTTCAAGTCCTGTTGGTGTTGGTGTGGTGTGCAGGGAGTCACAGGGACCTGGGGGAGAAGCGATACCTCGGCTCTCTTGGACAGAGTTCGTCAGCACCTTAGAAATGCGTATCTAGGGACCTTTGATCCTGGTGCGGTCTCCTGCCTCATTTTATGGGGCCCACAGGAAAGTCGAGGGAATCCCAAAGGTCATTCATTCGTTGTCAGGAAAGGGCTCTGTCTGTCAGACATTGCTCTTTCTACCCACCTCTGTTCCCTGGGGACGTTGGAAAGCATGTTCTCAGCCCATCTGGGGCTTTAAAGGTCCAAATGTGATAGCGAGGGAAGCTTCCAGATCAAGGATTCTCCCACCCTGTCCACACTACTCATCCAAAATGGGCAGTACACTCCGCTGACCGGTAAATCCAGGGCCGGTCTCCATGTGCCACGGTGGGTGCGCCCTCCCTCCCGGCATCCTCCCTCCGGCATCAGGGCCGTAGCAAGGCAGTGTGGACTAGA